GTTTCGTTTGCATTGATATGCCAATCTCGACTGGTACGGTAAGCTGGTGTGTGTGTAGGGAAGTCGTTTTCCCATGAACCGAGTTTTTTGTTATACCCATTTTGTTGTAGCGTGTAAGTTCAATGACTATATAATATGTATATACGTGCGTGTGTAACTTAAATGGTTTTTGTTTTTCATGGATACATGCCACCGCCCAGCGTGTGACTGCTATGTAAACGATGCGTAATGTACAATGGTTAGACGGTCCGTGGGTGTTTTTCTAGTCGACACTGAATATTCAAAGCTGTGACTAGATCTACACTCATCAACTGCTTACCTGTTTCGTGACAACTTACGTGCATCAGTTTATTTTTCTGCGGTCAGGACTGTGCTCACTCTGCTGTTAAATACTTGGGTATACACCGTTCATGTTGTGTTGTATAATTTATTTTAGTATTTCGTTCCAATTATTATGTGTATTTTTTTTGTGTACAGACATTTCTTGGAATTAGATGAATTGTACATGTCTATTTATTACGTAATACGTTGTGTCTTATACAGTATCGTTCAGTTTTATGTTTAAACTAAAAATATACATTATTCGTATGTTCGTAATGTACGTGCATTGTGGGAATTAATTCCCAACTTATTTATACATTATTATTTTTGTAATTTAATGCTACGATTTTGTTCAATATAAATATGGGCGTCTTATCAAAATTATTATTTTCGTTATCAAATATGTCTTTTACTCTTATTCTACCTATTATGTTTTCAATATAACAATATTATAAAATAAAATACGTTTTGTGTTTTTATTATTATTTTATACCCCTTGTGATATGATAATATGTTGTTTAAATTAAGTGTGTACAAATAACTGACAAGAATTTGCATTGATTTCTCGTGATTAAATTTAAAACATGATACCAAGTCAGTAAATCGTGTGATATGAATATAATAATCAAAATACATTATACAATTTAAGTTAATTTGACCTTCTCTAGATAACAAAATCGATTCAGTGTATAGAGAAAATGAATGACTACAGTAATATCCTATAAATAATAAAAATTATATTACATTAATATATACCAAATTGTAATATAAATGTTGTTCAATATGGCGAGGACTGTAGATAGATACTTATAAAGTGTCTAAAAAGTTAATTTGTTAAAGACTTCAACCTGTGATTATTTATATTGCCTGCGAGGTCTAAAAACTGATGAAATAAACTGGTCGTTGTATTTATAATACCTAAATATAAGTAGGAATATCGTATTTTTGTTATTAATTTAATATAACTGGTTGTTAATTATATAATGATTATTGTTTAATATTCACTACCTATTCTGTAAAATGTTGAGATTATCCACAGAATGACTAAAGTTTAAAATGAACCTATTGTTATTCAAATGTGGATAATATTATAATGGTTAATTATATTTAAATGTATAAGTTCTGTTGGTCTTCAACTTTTGGTATTAAAATATTTATTAAGTCAGAGGTGTATATTAGGATTTTCTTGAGGAGGGGGAATGAATTTATCCAGTGGTCACTAACCCGAGGGAAGCTTTGCCCCCTCACTCTTCTCACCATCTAGGTTGCCTTAAATTATAATAACTTTTTTACATAATCGATACGAAATACGTTACCAGAATATTGTACTAATATATGTAGCATACATCATAGTATGTAACCTACTTGAGATTAAATATTTAATAAAATTCCTATTTCAAATATAATATGTGGCATTCCAACATTATTTTTTTCAAAAAAATATTAAATATAGTGACCGAATCACTAATAGTGTTTCGTATGAAGGATTTAATCCTCTTTCATAATGATATACCTAGAGGTAAAAAGGTCTAATATATTGACATTTATATCTAGATTTTAATTATAATTATCTCAACATTTTCAAAATTCAATTTTTTATTTGTTGAGAAGTACAAATATATGATGAAGTATTATTTTTGGATTCATACTTATGTTGTCTTAGAATAGCTAAAAAATGTTACTATTTTGCAATTCACACTTATAATATTGAAAATTAATTATCATTAAGTTTAATGTAGGAATGAATAACCGTTGTCTAAAGTACCTACAGACATATACGATTGTAAAATTAGTATAACATAGTATTAAATTATTAGTATTTACTATACGTATACCTATTATAGGTACTGAAATTGGAATATAATCACCCTGTCACAGTAATTTATAACAAAAACTGAAAAGTCTAAAATTGAAATGTCGGAAGTTTTCGCTCAGCGGTCGAATCATAATGAACATGATTCAATTATTACATGCGTATTATGTTCTAAAAATGAATATGAGCTATGCGGGTGTATAATATTTTCTTATATTATATTAATTTAATTATTTTATACAATAAATAGTATAAATATTTAGAATATTCCTTGCTTATTTTCTCAGAATCAGAATTGATTATTATTACAATTATGGACGTTACCTACTCGTCGTCTAAGGTTGAATCTGTAACAATTTCGTGTCTACGGATTACGATTAATACAAAGGAATCTGTAATTATAGAGCGTGAACGTGTTTTATTACATATCTTTATATATATAATGATACTGTACGTGTGTATGTCACTGAACTCCTAAACGGTTAGACCGATTTGAATGCTTTTTTTTTGTATACGTTTGGGTGACGCCCTGGATGGTTTAGATTCAAAATTGGACCCGGGGAGTTGATCAAACAGGAATTTTTAGATTTACAAAGGAAATATTTGTTTATATACGGTTGCTATTGGTTATAGAAGAAGTATAAATATATTTATTAGAAATTGGTATTTTTTTTTTGTTTATTGGTTGCCTGCAGTGATTCATCGGGCAGATCAGCTATAAGCATGCATACAATTGAATTTTCGCACATTGCCTACCAAGGTGGCTGAGTTGCACGTATAGCCGCTCATCGGCGTGTCCGCAATCAAAATAAAAATAAAACATATTATTTATATAAAGTCCTCATCAAACGGGATCCTCAATGCACAGCAGGTTTGCATAATATACTGCTCGTATTATCACCATCGAGTCTCATATAGATTTGGCATTTTTAACGGGCAACAAAGTGCACGACATCAGTTAGTAATATGTATATAAAATGTATGTGTAGAGTATTGAATTGCCTAATACAGCGGGGGTTTTCTTATATAATATTATAGAAATACTTATCTGAACATGTGTTCCCTTGGGATGCACAATAGTAAAAATTCCATGCTCTGTATCTCCTCCTAAATACCTCCGTATTTAGTTATGTACGTAAATTAATTTACAAGTTTAGAAGTGAGATATCGGAATGACTATTACCAGACACCTATAGCTGGGTTTATTTTTATTTCGCAGTATTATATTAATCAATTTTATTATTAATATTAATTGATAATAAAGTGATCAACTTTATGCTAATTTACGTGTCAGAAATATTATGTACGTAGTATAATAATATAGTCTCTGTAACCCGAAACTGACGATAACTATCTACCTGTGGGTCAGGATTATTTGTATAAGTTTATTATTATCGAAAACATTTCTAAATATTTTAGTAGGTTATAATAAAGATTGATTTGAGACTCGAGCATGCTAGGTTGACCATGTCTATATTTTTTTAATTTCTTGTGAAGGTTTTTAAGGTCGAAGAATGTTCATTTTTTTACATGGTATTCATTCGATGTGTCCGCAGATTGCGTATGAAATACAATAATTTAAAATTTGATGAGTACTACTTCACAAGACATTTAAATAATAATAATTAAACATTTTTCTCGTTCGTTAACAATCTTCAACAGCCTTATTTATGCTCTTTGCGTTCGTTAAGAGTTAACATTTATTCTCGTGGAATCAATTCGACCAATTATCGCAATACGACCGCCCATGATATAATTTAAAAATTGGACTGTTTATCGAATCAACTGGTTTTGATTTAATTTAACAATTTGATGTGTTCCCTTAATATCCCTCTGCAGTGAATCATATTAAGGACATGATACCATTCAAAGATACATTCGCTCATGTATTAAATGTTATTTGTTATGATATGTTTCGCAATATTATGTTCTTGTCTTAGAAACACTGTTTGTACTTATTATTTAATAAGACTCTCACATATTGTAATGCTATAATTTATGAGTATGTTGAACTTGTGCGTTTTGAACGATATTTGTATCGCGTGTACACAATCAAAAATAATCTGATTGGTTTTTATTTTTTTTAAACATTTATGTTATAGCTTTTATTAGTGAATAAATTAAAAATACTCGTAAAGAGTTTATTATGGAAAATAGATCTTTTAAAAATCACAGATGTACCACACACCTGTAGGTACATACGTTCATTTAAAACCGTATAGAATAATATGCTACATCTGAATCATCTGATTAGTGTGTACCATCAATGATTACTACGGATTAAAATTGTCTTTTCATATTTTTAAAAGAATTGTTATGTATAAATTTGAATGTATTTGATTTTTAATGGGTCTGGATTGACTGCGGCCGTCGGTTAATATAAAACACAATGCAAAATAATGCGCCATTCTTACCACTATAAGGTTAATTTAATTTTGTTGTAACTTTAATGTCATAATTCAATAAAATTGAGATTAAATAAATCAACCAATTTTTTTGACTGCTTAAAAACTTCATTATTTATGTTTTGCAAACAAATTTCAATTTATTTAAAATAAATTAATATATTTTGAAAGACGTGAATAAACTGTCTATTACTATGATTTATCCGTAATCCCAACCTGAAAAATATAAATATCAGTATTATGTTATTATGATACGGCATACTCAAATGTTTTTATTTGCCTACCAAATTGAATACTTTTCTAAATAATACAGGTATTGAACGATATTATAATTTTTGTTCGCTGTATATTTGTACCTATTGGTTTTTATAATAATAATAATAACAACAGTAATGTTCGATTTATACTTTTTGAAAATAATCATTTCTGTTGAATTGATAAATATTCTTGTAACGTTTCAGAATACACAGGCAACTAATATTATACAAATCGAAAATGAATTCAAAGTATCGGACTTTATTGATGAAGATAATATAAAAGAGTATGTATGCTAGAAGTATAATAATTTTATCTTAGTTACCTACGTTATTTTATTATTGTTGTTCGTATAAGTTTTTTGATTTTATGGTGTTTTAATATAATTTAAATAATATATTATTCTTGTTGGTTCGATATTTTGACTATAGCCAGTTTATGTATACTTAGAAGGCTAACCTCGGCTATATATAAATATCAACGTTAGTACAAACTATGTATCATGTATGTACAAACTACAAGTAGTAGGTGTAACTCTCTTACCAACAGCAATAATTATAATAAATGCGTATTGGCAAGTTTCGAAATTAATTTAGTTAGAAATTTAGAATCATTAGGGTATACCTAAGCTTCAATAACTATACCGCGTTTTATGTTAATTAGTTGCGTGGGTAATAACTAATAACTATTTCTTATTCGTAGTAAGTGTCATACTAAATATTTGCTGTTGTAGATGAGTATAATATACACATACATATATCATATTATGTTACATAGGTGTGATTTTAAGTCTGTATTATGAAACGCAAATATATGTACTTTGTTTGAATATGAAATTGTTAGGCTGGGTTCTTTGTAAAAGTTATAAGTCAATTTTCTTGTAGTTTATAGATCCGCAATTGTTTTGAACGAATGATTCGCCGAGTACGGTTATTTAGTATTTATACTCCCTTTTTTCTTCAACGATGCAGTTATATTTAAAATCTGATAGGTACTTGGAATTTTTAAATATACTTACTTAAATAGTACCTACCACATTTTAAAATTCTTAAGATTTTTTGTACCACTTAAGGAGTGTCGTGTGGAGATTATCTCCAGGAGATATATACAAGTATTTATATTTCTGTTTTTCAAATGAACTCCATTTTCTGTTGTAAATTTTTTGGATGACAATTTTGAAAATGTTCACTTATTTAAATCAACATTTTATACGAGCACTTTTTGATTGAAATTTATGTACGAAAGATGATAATTGATAGGTCCATGATTCTAGGCTTGGAAGATATTATGGGATCTAAAATGTAAGTAATTAATTTCAAAATTTATAATTTGCAAAATCAATCTTATATTTTTTAATACCCATTTTAAGAACTATTGTCCATATTCTTTAGTTTACAAATATTTAATAAATAAAATCTTAACTCAAAATGTTCAGTAAAATTATCTACTAAATAACTACAGTAAAAACGGGATCTCTAATTTGAAAAAAGAAGTAATTGCGTGTAGTCAAAAATATTAAAATACAAACAATAGTTTTCGTCAAAATCGATTTTGTTGTATGATTCAAAAATGAATGACTGTAGAAACTTTTTTCAGTTAATATTTATATTGATTTTTTCTAGCTGAGAATACATTTCAAAATATTTTTTTTCTTATTTATAGTTAGGTTTCAACTTATTTATGAAAACATTTTGTTTGTCAGTAAAGAAGCTTAACAATTTTAATACAATCGGTTTTTCTATAATTCGTCCTTACAGTAATTAAACATTTTTTTTTTTGTAAAATCGCTTAATTATAATTTTTACAAGATTTGTCAAAATCACGAATGTATCTAAAATACATTATATTAGTTAAGAAATCATAACATTTTAAACTTAAACACCTAAAGGTAAGTCCCTACCAAATAATGAATTTTGCGTTTTGCGATTCAATACGGTTTTGTCAAAACTATATAATTAAATAAGAGGTGCCCTCTAGTGTGCTTTTTGTATTTTATGTTTTCAAGATTTAACGATAAATCGCTTTTATCGCAAACTGAAACAAAATATTTTGTTTTTCTGTAATCAATCGCAGTTCTGAAATCTACCAATAAACATGTCAGCGTTTCGGAGAAGTTAGCTGTTGCTGTTCTTTTTAAAATTCCAATTTGGAACAAAAGCCATGTAAATAACAAAAAATAATTGGAACTAACACTTCAAAATGTGTACACCTCCAAATTACTAAAATCGTTTGATAATACATTTTTACTCAATATTTAAAATGTTGGAAAAATTTGAAATTGGTCATCAAAACGTGATGTGGCCTTTTACCAAGTAATCTTGTGTAACATTAATTTACACCAGACATTACCTAGGCATTAAAATTAAAAAATGTATTAATTTTTATTTTTTAACTAAAATATTATTCATTCTTTACATTTTTTTTCATGTTTTTGACGAATTTTGTAAGCATTCTTATACAAACGCAAATAAAAAAAGTTTGATGAACTACAACAACAATTTAAAATCGTTTTTCGTCAAATTCTGAATTTTCCTAATAATTTCTGTTTTACTATAATTTTAGATTTTACAATGATATGCGTCTTATCAGTGTTTCATCGCCTTTTCTGGTAGGAATGTAAATCTAGTTGGTACTTTGTTGAGGTATTAAGCAAACAATTCTTATTTGTTTTCAAATGCGTTGAGTAAAGTCTAAAAAATTAAGGAAATACGTGCAGGATTTTTACATAAATCCAGTTTTTAATAAAATCGATTAGGTTTTTTTTCTAAAACTAATAATCGTTAATACTTCAAAATTTTACCAAAATCTTATACGCAAATTTTCGACACAAGATAACCTTAAAAAAGTCTTGATTTTTTTGAGCTATTTATAGCCATGAAAAAAATTATAGATTTTTTTTAGTTCTTTTTCTAACATCGTTGATACATAATATTTTGCTAGTTCAAAAACCTAAAAATTAAGAAAGAAATTTATTAAGATTTCTCATAATTTGCCATAAGTGTGATTAAAAAGAAGTTATTATTATACTTATAATCCCACAATGAACAGACATTTTGTAGCTAAGTCATTGAGGACTTAGCATGATAAATTACACAATTTTGTGAATTTACACAAAGATTAAAGTTTTAAATGTATTCTTTAAACATATTTTTAATTTAACATTGAAGAAAAATCTAAAACGTTATAGTTTATATAGATATTTACTTAATGATATTGTTATTTATCATTTAGCATTTATAATGAAAACGCAGGAATGGCCCCATCAAAATCGTATATGTTAGGTTATCGCAAAATCATCAATCCCTCCCATCGCTAATCGCTTTTGATGGGGGCCTTACCTTCAAGCTTGAAAATGTTGTAATTACAAGGTTCCTTATAGGTTTTTTTATACTGGAAATTACAAAAAAAAATTTAGCATAAGTACCTATGTATTTTTTTATGGGTGATTGAAGTTTAAATTTGGTCCTCAGTGGATATTTACATGTAAAATAATGATTTGTTATTCCTTTGTTATTCAAAAAATATTATAACTAGTGATAACGGAACTTTTCAAGCTTAGTTAATCTATTTAGTATTTTTATTTCACAGTTGCTTCTTATGACCTAATAATTACCTAAAAAGCACCTGGCGTAGTGGCGTTAACTAAGTAGTGTCCTCTAAAGGATAATTTATATAATATGTACATCGGTTGCTCTAGCTGACTTGTACATTACATTACACCTGTTAACTGATGAATGATGATACTCAAGGTAATACACGTGTACTATGTACAAGTGTTCATTCTATGATATACTTAATGATATAACCCGTATCCTCATAATATTATTATTGATTAAAATGATTAGGTACCTAGGTATTATAAAATATGTCATTATAATTAGGTATTGCTACCTAGTGCCTACGGTTTTCTGAGTTTTGGTGTATTAAGACATATTTTGATTATTAAACATCTAGATCTAGTTAAAACTTCTGGTAATTTCGAAAGAAAACTTGGTATATACATAACTGGAAATATTATAAAACGCTCATCTTCTGCCTCGCCAGTCATCGGTATGATATATTTAAATGTAGAATATAGTTTTAAACACTTCATGTTTACAGTATACTTAACGATGAAACCTTGATGTATCCTAATTCCTAAGCTAACGAAAAATCAGTAAATAATGATACCTATTAAATGAACAAAATCAAAACAAATATAGATCTACGATTAATATTGTTATTATAATTTAGAGAAAATGAGATTTCTACTACTGGAGATGTCACGTGCAATTTTGGACTGGGAAATGTTAACAAAAATGATTCGTCAGCTAAAGTGGAAATAGCGTGCTTAATGAAGCACGATTTATGGGACAACTTCATATTTGGTCATGTTAATTATCAAAAATTTGACGACCATGTCCAGGAGTTAGTGAACGATATCATCCAGAAGAATGACCTAAAACCTGTAACATCATTGTCTGGACTTTACTGTGGAAACAACGTAAGTATAAATAAAGATAAAAACTACAAATTCATACATGATTAGTATACCTAAACTATTTGCTTCTTTTAACAGTAGTCATTCATTATCTTAAAAATATTTTTATTATTTATTATTGTTATCATTCATTTATCATTTCTACTTTTTTGAATGACATCATATTATCAAAGATGGGTAGTAACTAGTTAAAAAGTTAAGGTTAATTTTTTTAAACTTTTGAACTTAACTAGTCAGTTAAGATTTTAATCAAACTATGAACTTTACTAGTTTAATTGACAGTAGTTACTTTTATAATACAAACACTTTTGTTCTTTTTATTGATAAAATAATTTTGTACCAAGATATATTTTAGTAAGTAAGTAGGTAGGCATAATATTATAATATGGCCTTAACTTTGCTATTTGATGTATATATTCAAAAAAATTATTAAATTATTTATTAATATTTAAGTGTAAATAGTTAAAATATTTAATTATCATGTGAAATATGTATTTACAGTATACACTGTACTTTGAAATAAAAGTTAAATACAATTGTTTGTTATTCTTTAGAAAATCAGAAAAAATTCAGCTACTCTTTATGTGATTCATGCACTATTATACTAATTTAAAAAAGTAGACTAACTTTTTTAAACTGAGTTAACTGTGTATTTTTTTCTATATTAACTTTTAACTTTTAAATTAAATCAATGATTTGTTAACTTCTAACTTATCATTCTTGTGTTCTTTTAACTTAACTTAACTTGAATTAATTATTTTCATTTTGAGTATTTCGATGCAGATACCTTACTTATGCTTGTAACTTGTAAAATGATGTAACCTATTTGTAACTACTCGTTTGAAATTTGGTATTTATGTATTGAAATGCTCTGAAATATATTATGCTTCGGAATATGAAATTAAAAATGTGTGTTGTTATTAAGAGAATTAAAAACTTAAAATTTATAATGATGAAGTGGTAAAAAATATTGTTTTTTATATAATCAAGTTGTATGTAAAAACTACTTTCATACATTTTATTTAAGATAAAATTAGTGTTTTGAGTAAGAATCAACTTGTGTGCATGTAAATATTATTTAAAAAAACTGACGTACAGCAGTGCTCGAATGGTAAAAATAATATAAGAAATATAGTATTCCCTTTGTTCGATAAAAATATGGACATGTTTGTGTGTTATTTATTATATTGTGTACTGAAGTGTTGCAATATAATATTATTTATGACAATAATGACAATGTGTTGAATGAAATACAATAAACAATTGTTGATTTATATTATTTGATATTTCAGACAGAAATAACGATTTCTGGCAGTTTGCGGTTAATAAAAAAAGAATTATTTCTTGATTCCTTGCATGGTTTTATAAAACTCGATTTGTCCGAAGCCGAACAACCTATAAAGTCATTGTTTGTGAATCAGATTTTAGTTGTTACCGGGTCCAATCCGGATACTAAAGTTTTCAAAGTCAAACAATTTTATGCTGACGCTTCACTGCCGCTGTCAAATAAATTACCGAGCTTTTCAATAGGTTATTGTTACTGATATCTATTTTCTGGCAATATTATTATAATTTGCATTAGTGTCTTAAATCATACGAAGATATTTTGTAATGTAAAATACTTTTTTCAGGTAACTTAAACTTAATGGTTGCCGCGGGACCGTTTTTTAGCGAGTTGTCTCCACATGGAAAGTTATTGAAATCTCTGGTACAAAAAACAATCGAGTTGGAAGCACAGGTGCTGATATTGTTTGGTCCAATTTTTGATGCAGATTTCGGTACGCAGTTGAACAAAAGAACATCGGAAGATGTTCAAAAATGCTATGACGAAGTGTTAGAAGCTACACTGAAACCGTTGTTTAGGTTTGTAACTAGTTACACGTGTGAATTTCAACGTATACAGACAATTAATTAATTTGTGTTTTTATCTAATTCTAGCAACCCGGCAACTCAAAACATAAAATTGTTGGTATTTAGTTCTTGGAAAGATTCCGAAAATTATGCTTTCTACCCAACTCCTCCAAATTCTGAGTCGAGCTTGCCAACTTTGTATCCCAACAACGCTTACATGGTGTCTGATCCAAGTGTGTTTTCTGTCAATGACATAATAATTGCTGGTAACGCGAGTGATTCTCTTATGGGTCTACACGTTTCAGCAATTAATCAAACTCGGTGAGTTTCAGAAGCATTTATGTTATCAGCAATTTGCATACATGCGTCCCTAAAACAAAGTTGGAAGTATAACATTCAATTTTTGTATAAAAACCTTTTAAACTAGAAAAAAATCTAACACAACTAATTCCAAAAATAAATCTTTATTCTACCTACCAAAATTGTCTAACAATTATTGTATGCAATCTTCACTCTCTAACATATATTAATTTCTATAGGAAACGTAATAATTAATAAACAACATGGGACTAATTTACACTTCATTTTCTGGCTTATCAACAATATGTCTCCAGTAATAACAATTTTCCATTTACTTTTTTTATAGTTAGGTAATTGAACCCTTTCTGTTATCATTTTAAGGTATTCTATTAACTATAAATGAAGTTATAACTTTATACATATAAACCTAACATAAAGGGAAGATAACTGTATATTTTGTGGATGGGATTTATTTCTGTATTTATGATTATTATTATAAATTAAAGATGATTTTGTTAAATGTTTAAGAGTTTGAAATATATTGTTCCAACACTGATAAGTTCATCTTAGTGCAACTTTGTGTGTTCTAATGGTTATCTATTGTTCTTTTTTTATAGAGAAGAAATGTTTACTAAACTAGCCAAACAAATTATATGGCAACGATGTTTGCACCCTTCGTATGTTGCTAACCCTAACGTCCCCGTGGACCACCTACTGTGGTTAGAACATAGTACATTTCAGCAAAATACTCCACACATTATACTGACATCTTCGCAACTCCGTACATTTATAAGAGTAATATTTTATGTTAAATATGTATTAATTTTTTATTCTTGTACTTATAAAACTAAAAGTTATAGAACTAATTGATATAAATTGTTGATTAAGTCATTATTTTATTTCAGGTGATTGAGGGTTGTATGGTTATCAACGTTGGACAGTTAGTCAAACATAACTCCCAAAAACAAGCAGTAGCAGGAACGTATGGTCAAATTCAAATAGCACCTCCTAAAAATGGTAGTTGGTCAACTCAGACAAATATTTCAGCTGAAATCGTTCACATTTAATATCTAAGCAACATATTATTATTTTTTTGTAAACTAATTTCTATTTTTTATCAACAACCATGTTAAATAAAATATGCTAAAAGTAGCTAAAGGCATTTTTTAAAGTGTAAAAGTTAATGAATTTCTGTCTGGATTAAAATTTTTATTTATTGAAGTGTTTTATACTGTTTATTTATATTTAGGAAAAAATAATTTAAAAGCTAACCTAATGGTTTGTTGGACTTTTATTTAGGGTCATATTTTTAATTTTATAAATTGATATAAAAAAAAATTATGTACCTGTATTTAATTAGGGAACAGATAATATAACTCGGAGAAATAAAACATGTATATTGTTTAAGAATTTAAAAAGGGTACATAATTGTGCAATAAATACCAAACATTTGTTTGAATATTTTTTAGTATGACAAAATGTTTATGTGGTACTGTTGTAACAATCAGACTACGTCCGTTTGATGGTGTTGAAAATAAATGAACAAGAGTTTGACTTTTCTTTATAATTTGAATACTTTTTATTTAATTAATACAAAACACAATAAAATTACTAAGTCCAAAGTGACTATATTAAATAATGAAGACTAGCGAGATGTGACTTTAATATCCTAGCTCCTAGCTTGTCGTTGGTGTTGATCCGTCTAGTTCGTCTAGCTCGGTGTTGCTGGTCCGTCTAGCTCGGTGGTGTTAGTCCGGCTAGCTCGGTGTTGTTGGTCCGTCTACCGAAGCCTATTCGTGAGACGTTTTTATAATGGCTATACTTGGATCATATCCCTGCCTATTATCCCACTACTTTACCATATAAGGTCATACCGTGGTCAGCCACGCGCTGCACACGCCGGATGTCCCTTGCTTATCTGGTCGTTGTCATCTCTACAGAGGCAACACACACTTTTAGTGTGAACTATTTTAATGATATTCATATAAGTAGTTATATATCTATGAACATATACGTTTCGAGGTCACGCGCAATAGATGCGTCGTAGGCCTCCTTCAGCATATCGTGTTTCTTCTGTATATTTAGAACTACTGGAGGGATTTACTGGAATGATTATTTATAATATGTAAAACATAGTCACAGCTCGCTACACTGTCATGTAATCAATTATTCACTAAAAACGGTCATTTTGCATTAAGGTTCTTGCATTTAAAACTCATTCACCCCCTATTGCTACTCTAAAATGATAAATAATTTTTCTTATTAAACTTATGAATTTTTATTCTCTGTTGTACCTATATGATGTGCCACTTCTTACCAATCTTCCATAAATGTATCATCTAATAGACTATTTTGTGTATAATTTGAAATAATTAATAATTATAATAATTGATAAGAATAATTCATGTTTGTAACATTAATAGGTAAAAATTAGCTTCTGTGGTAAATCTGTGTATATAAAAATGGAGCAAAAATGTATAACAATTCATCAATTGAGACCGGCTGGGTCGATTTGGCTCAATTTTTTGTTTAATTGTTTGTAATTGCCAGGAGAAGTTTTTACGAAAAAAAATTTTGGAAAAACCCTTTTTTTACATTTTTTTTTGATGATTTATTTTTTTGAGTTCCGGAATGTTTTTTTCGAATTGGAAGAGCTACAGCAAACTTAAGCTTATAAAATTGTCCATATGGCATAATATATATCGTTAACATGGGGCCCTCGGCAAACACCAATAAAATGGATCAACATGGAGAAATATGTTATGTATTGAAGGTTAGGTATTAATATTATGTTTTTCTATATTATAAAGTAAAGTTTAAATTTTGTAAAGTGATAATTTTCCATTTTTCGTTGTTACCAGAAAAACTGCGCAAGTACAATTTTAGTTTATTTTATTTTACTAATCTAACAAGACACTATCCTGGATGGTTTAGATTTACAATTGGACCCGGTAGGTCCGACCCGGGGAGTTGCTCAAACAGAGATTTTAAGATTTACGAAGAAAATATTTGTTTGTATACGGTTGCTGTTGGTTATAGAAGAAATATAAATATATTTAGTAGAAATGGTTATTTTTTTTGGCTTATTATTTGCCTGCAGTGGTTCATTGGGCAGATCAGGTATATGCGTGCATACAATTGAATTTTCGCACATTGCCTACCAAGGTGGCTGAGTTGCACTTATAGCCTCTAATCACCGTGTCCGCAATCAAAATAAATATAAAATGTTATTTCAATAATACACAGCAGGTAAGCATAATATACTGCTCGCATTTCACCACTGAGTCTCATATAGAGTTGGCATTTTTAACGGGCAACAAAGTGCCCGGGATCAGCTAGTATGTTATAATTGTATTATTCTTTTACTAATTTACCAAATTGTGTAATCTATATTAATTTTTATAAATTGTTTACAAATTGAATTAATTAATTTTGCTCATTCATCATGCACAATAAACTTTGTTCTTTTATAAGTAAAATTTAGTTTTTTTGCATATCAATTTTACTGAATAAACTCAACAGTAGATACGAAGACTTATAGTTTGCATGTTTTTGTTAGTTATTTAGTTTGAATGATTGCAAGCTATTACAGCCATTGTCCATTTGTCTAAAAATGAAATAATTGATAAGTACCAATGTGAATCATAAGTTGTACCAAACTGCTTGATTTGTGTTAAATAGTTCAAAAGGTAGTTAAATTGTACTATTTTTGATCACAGAATTGGATTATCCTTGTCGTATCAAATGCCCTAATTTTGTGTATGAATTAATTTGTGCCCTGATCGTCAATAATATTCTCTGATTTTTGTTATTTTTTGTCGTACTTACCCTGTTTCTTCTATCTTCAGTGATTTAACCAGAAAAATAAAAGTAGGAGGGACAATTTGATATAAAAAAAATTAATGACCCTAACAATCATTGAAATCAAGTTATTCCTCTTATCTTCTCCATTCTTACTCATAACTTTTTAGCATAACTAATATTATAATCAAAATACTACATTGTGTACAATAAATAAAATCATGTGTGGCATACAAAAAATAATGTGTGTGTACACATGACACAAGTAAATATTTAACTTTGATTGAAATCAAAATAATTAAATCGAACCTAACTGGTTGGTTGTCGACTATTGAATAATGCTAACATTCAATAGTAGAACAATAATAATTTTGAAAAACAATACTTAGATATTCAAGAAACAAAATTTATTTTAATTTTTTACTCACACAGATTACTCTTATTCCTACAACTGTCTCCAAGATTACTGGAACTTTGTCATTAAATCTAATCCCTGATGTATAAATGGTTCAAAAAAGTTCAAACAATTTGGGAGGAGGAATATGTTGAATCACATAGTGTTGTTTTGCAATATTCTATATATTTTTTACTCCAATGATACCAACCAATTTGCCATTCCAGTTCAAATGGCTCCAATTTCCAGTGTAATTAAGCTTTGCAATGACTATTAATAAGGCACAAGGTCAAACATTAAACGTTGCAGGTTTAGACTTAACCGTCCAGTGTTTTTCCCATGGTCAATTGTACATAGCTCTGTCACGTGTCACATGCAAACAAAATCTATTTTTGTTGGCTGTAGAAGCTAGACACTTAAAGTGATGTATCCAGAAATATTAAATGCTTAAGACGCAAAAAAAAAAAAATTATACAAATATATTCCACACTTATACATAAATTACACTAAAAAATTAATCAAATTAAATATATGATATAATTCATAAACAAAATCTATTTGTGCTGCCCCCAGAAGGCGAGACACTTAACGTGGTGTATCTAGAAATATTTAGTGCTTAAGAAAAATTGATATAATTGACAAAAAAATAAAAATCATACATCACAACGAAACAAATATATTCCACACTTATATATAAAATTATACTAAACAAATTAATTAAATTAAGTAGGTATCTGATATAATTCATATCAAACTTTTCACATATTCCTAAACATAATAAATGTACTGAAATCTAGCAATAGCAAGGCATTGCCAGGTCAGTTAGTATCATATATAATCAATTTATTGTATTTATATAATGTAACTAGTTGACCCGGCAATGCTTTGCTATTTCAAAATTTCTCAAATATTAATTTAATATTTATTTTCTGAATGTTAAATAATTATTTTTATTTTAGACCACTTTTAGTCACGTCTTCATGGTAATGTAGCCATATAAATTTGGAGTTGGCACTGTGTATTCTTTATAATGTTGAAAAAAATTTATGAATTACATCTCTAACGATATGGAAAAAGACTGCCGGCAACGTGGTAAACCTGACCCTGTACTTTAACAGTAGCTTTACTTTTGTCTAGGCATTTTCGAAAATGAGAGTAGTATGTTGGTAATAACCTTCAATCAAATGTATAATCAATTACGCCTTCAAATAATTAAACCAACCAACAATCGGCAATTAATAAATAACAATCAAAATCGTCACCAGACAACGCGAGAGCACAATACCTGCCTCACAAAATGTATACATAGGTATACAATTTACAAATTTATTTTAACTAACAATAATTACTTATTAACTTTATCGGACTGAATTTATGCCTTAAACCTTCTCTGTGATGTCCTCTTTAATTTAAAAAAAACTGCACGAAAATTGAATAAGTAGTTTGGAAGTTTATCCCAAACAACAAAAGAAAGCGATTTCATTTTATATAGTAGTATAGATAAAGATATAGATATAGATATATATATATTTTGAATTTGATAGTAAGGTGGATAGAAATAAATTGACCGCAAAAAGCACAAAAACTTACCTAGGTAATACATTAACATTTTACACAATAGTTATCAACAATTTATTATGCTTTGGTTTGGTTTTCATTTATACAGTCTAAATGTTCAGAAACCAGAAGAAACAATAGACAAATTTACTTATTAATGTAATGCAATGAGGTAATACTATTTGATAGGGTTACTTTTCTTGTAATAGCAAGAAGGTTAGGTAAGGTTAGGTTTTTCTGGTAAAAAAAAGTAACTGTCACCGATCAACTGCAGTGTAGGAATTAGGAAATCTATTAAAGTATTGACATATTGTCTATTTTAGTTATAATACAGCTTGAACAATAAGCAATTATTTTTTTACATTTTAAATGACTTTTTTTCTCACCAACATTATCAGGTGATCACAATTTCTTAGCTGTTGGGCATCATCCATTGTTATTGTGATAACTGATAAGTATAATTTTTTGTTACCTCAAAATTTGGTGTAACGTTTACAATATCATCATTTTTTTAAACAAATTGTCTGTATAATTAATTTGAAAACAATAAATAATCGGCAAGTATTTTATTCAAAAATTTGTTTTTAAAAAAAATACATAAAATAAATAATGCGATATAATATTGAAAAGAAAAACTAAAATATTGTTAATAGATGTTTACATATTTTGTTAACAATGATATATATCTTGGAATTTCGTTATATCTGTCAATAATTTTTGTTCTGGCAAGGAAAAATATTTATATTGGTTTTTAATAATTACATACTTCAATACATAAGTTGTTTATAAACGGAAATTACAAAAACAATCAATACATACAAAAAAAAAAGAACCTATTAATAAATAATTAAATAATAGTTAGAACATAGTTGGACAAATTTCGGTGTATAATTATGTAAAAAATAAAATTGTCTAAATAAATATTGCTATTATTATACAAAGGTTAGGTTATGACACCATATGATCAATGATGGTTGGATTCAACCAAGTATCTGATATAGGAATTCCGTTGTATTTATAATTTTTAAAACCAGTTATATGATTTTTTCCTAAATACCAATCAACGACACTGTCGGTGAATGTACTATTAAATGTTTGCAATGTTTGTACACTTTGCTCATTGTCAAAGTCAACAAATACTTCAAAATTTAAACAATCTTTGGTGCAACATGTTTCATATTTCTTCGCATTGATCTCGTCGTGCGGTTGGTCAAATCTCAAAACCACTTGTTTACCTCGGAAACAACGAAACTGCTCCTTAGGAACACACCAATTAGTAGCCATTTTTCCACCCTTCTTTACTTTGAACATCACATACAAGTTTGTTTCAACCATAATATTTGATGTTAATATATCATTGAACTTGTCATTATTCAGTATATTCCTTAAAAATAAAAAAATATTAAACACATTTAGAAGATATATAATATGCACATCCATAGGAAATATACAATTTTTAAATTAAAATAAGATATTTAGGAAACAGCTAAAACAATTTTATGGAGATATTAGAGAATTGATGGTCATTGCCCAATTATTATTCATATATTATCACTATTCAATATAAGTATTAAGCCCAGATTAAGATCTCTAGAGCAAGGATCCGCAACCTTTTTACATATGCAGGCAATATTTTAATAAAATTTGCATTGAGAGTTGCATACAAAATTAAAATTTTAACATACAGTATACTGATATATTTACGGATAGCAACAATCATATTTGAGTTTAACATTACAAAGTTGTCCTCATAAACTAATTTTGAATTTACATTAGTAGAGAAAATTTAAAAATGTAAAAATAACTATTAATTAATTCTTGAGTGTAAAAGTATACAAATATTTAGTTGTTACCATTAAATATATTTGGAGGGCTGCAAGTTGCAGATGCCTGCACTAGAGTAAAGTGATATTTTATGAAAAAAACAAGACAGACAATTTTAGATCAACATTAAAAAAATAACCATAATTCTTTAATAATGTAGGTATAAATAAGGTATGTGGAAATGAGGCCATGCAGGTTCAAGAGCCATATCTGAAAATTTTGTGCTCATGGTCATCGGGATTTTTCTTTAAATTAACAATAAAACACAATGATAAAAATAATAATATAATAATAATATATTGTAATATCACAATAGGAAATTTCTGATTCCACCAAAATGATAATGATAAAAAAAACTGATACAAAAAAAAAATTCAAAAATATTATTTTTGCTTAACTGCATTGTTAGAATATTTCATATTTTCATCCAACTTCTTAAGTCTCTAGGAAAACCAATGTTTTAAATAAACCAATTTTAGTTTTTATAAAAAATTTAAAGTAAAACAAAAATTGACAAAAAGTTTTCTTTATAAGCATTTAATGTTTTTTTATTATTGTAAAATTTGTTATTGAACATATTATATTATTGAAAAAATCTTGTAGTTATGGTACATACTTGGAATTTAATGTTGAAAAAATATAAATTTTATAAACAAATGTATTATTATTGTTTTTTTTTTCAGATCTTAATTGTACCAATAATAATAATCTAGATACATTTGTTGCGGGCCTTGACGCTCTAGGCACCCTATTCGCTATAATTAATATAGAATATATTGACCTTAACGTTATTACGGTCTTGAACTCCGTATATGTAATTAAAATATTATAATGATTAAATATTAATTAAATATTATAATGATGAATATGTACTATCTGCACCTATCCATGTAATAAAACACTGGACAGGTACATGACTAGAAATCGTGGACACGATTCGCAATTCTAAGAATCGCTAATCGCTAATCTAAGAATTGGCAACAACAACCGAAAACACGAACACATACAAACTGCACGTGCCGCTACATCAAAGGAGCCGCCACCACTTATAAGGGAGCCCGTGGGACAGCCTGGGCAGATGTATCATAGCCACGGAGACCTGAGCAACTTCTCGTCACACGCGCACACGCTATTGTACTATTACTATATTTTCTGCTGAATAAACATAATTCTATAGTTCAATTTGGTACTTGTTGATTTGTCTCTAAAGCTTACGGCTTTTGGAGCCTTTGAAATTACGCACACAACACATTTAAATAACTTTCTACCAGATTTGAGATAAGAAAATAAAATTATAATTTCTTCAAAATCTGCTATATCTAATTATTATTTTTGATTCAAATTTCAATGATGTACTAGATTTTATAAGCCCGTGGCCAGACGTTAGATAAATAAACATACATATAGATTTTTTTTAATAAATAATTAGTATCAAGTATCATTAAGTATATATTGAATAGGTATTGTATTTATTGTACATACAATATATACTCAATACTATTACTAATACTTTATACTATAATTCCTTTATCAAAAAACGCATGATGTACAAAATATCACCATATGCTTACACGTGCTTGTTTAAACATTTTTTTACAGATTCTACCTATTAAAAAGAAAGTTAAAATATATGCATATATCTGTACATAATACACATATAAGTAGATAACCTGACTGACTAATCAACATACAGTCTAAACTATGATAGCTAGAGACTTGAAATTTGTATGGTACAACTGGTTATGACAACATTGGACGTAACAACAATATCGGCTAATACGCCTTAAAAATCTGGCCGCAACACACATTTTAATTGTATATTATTATTTTCATAAATTATCGTCAAATATTATCAGTGTAATTACCTACATAGATAGGGTACTTTCACACAGTTATTATGTATTATACAAGGTGCTTTTATGTGTTTGTAAAATAGCATCTAAGGTATCAACAAATATAATACACATACAGGATCTGATTAAGGAGTTGGACGCCTGTAGGTTAGGGTTGATTTGGCGCCCCAAATTTAACATTGGCCGATTGGAGCCCTTGTAGCCTACTCAGCCTATTGATTAATCAGGCTCCTGTACACATAGTACATATTATGAGATATTACCTACATTTTCATATTTTAGTCATGTTAGTGCAGTTGAACTTGTTCATTAAAACATTGAAATGAATAAACAAAACAAGATTATTGAACCGTAGACAAATTGTATAAATCAGTAAGTAGAGAATATTGTAAATTTTTCATTATTAAATAATATTGACAAATTTGACAAATAAATTCATTAAAACTCACTACACAAAATATGCTTTAAATGATAAATCAAAATAGCTAAAAATCACTAACTTTTTAAAATAATTGAGTAACTTTTAAATTTTGTTATTGATCACCACATTAATTGTATTTGAAAAAATTATTCATGTACATAATATGTATTTTAAATTCTAATTCTAAGTTGTAATAAAATAATATGTATGCATATGGCTGTTATTTAACATGTATGAATTATAAATATGTTAATAATATGTATGTATTTGAAAAATTTAATTAAAATTATAATAATATCGATGGCTAAGAGGCCAAAAGTTGTATGTCCATTTTTTCTCAAAATCGTTTTATTAGTCCATTGGGTTTATCTGGGTCGTCTTTATGATTTGGTAAAACATTATAAGTCAATATCATAAGTAAAACAGGTTTTATTTATACTTTAATTTTTGTGTTTTTAGTGCAAGATAGGTTTTTTTAGTGCACACATATAACAAGTCCTAATTTAATGAGACATACAATAAATATTTTAACATGATCTAAATATTAAGCGGACAAATATCACATGTCCGGACTTGTTACTTTTGTCAAAAATAATTCATTCAATTTTGGACGTGTAATGTCTTAGATAATATCGAATTTGTTTATCTATTTATAAAAAATGAATATGTCCGGACGTATTATTTTGTCGAAAAACTATTTTTAATCTATATCGTTTTAATCACTGATGATACGTCAATACGTCGATCCGTCGACACTGTCTTCATAATAATATTAGTATCGATAAGATTTTAATAATTATAATTTATAATCATTTGTATGACAATCGTGACATAATAATATTGACGTGTAGTTGCGTGTACAGTCTTGTGACTTGTGTGACTGAGTTTCCTATTTTATTTTAATTGATTAATAGTCAAACAATAAATTAGTTAAAAATTTAAATAATAACAATATTGTAATTATTATCATGAATTCCGGGCATTCTAGCAGTAGAGCTAAAAGGATGTTTAAAAGTAAAGTATACTTTTTATTATTATTTTTTATTTTTATAATATGCCAACAGTATTTTGATTTTGATTTTATGAGTAAATTATACTTTTTCTTTACCTAATTTTTGTATTTGTTATTATTACACTTGTATCTATTGAAGAATTGATAAAATAGAATAATATTCTTTTTAGGATTTGTCAATAAATTATTATGAATACAAATTATAACTATGGTAATGTATAATTATGTACGACATATATTTATATTTATTACTCTAAAGTCTAAATAATATGATATCATCAATTAGCCTAAAATATCATTAAGGGCGGGTTTTATTTGACTAAAAATTTTATGAAAAATGCTACTTTATTATTTTTCAATAAAAAATTCAATATTTTTTTTATTTTTAAATTTTTTACTGCAATTATATAAACATATTGAATTTTGTATATCAAAAAATTAATCTTAAGTACATAATATTATGATTAACTATTTATATAATTAATTAATTATAGTTTATATTAAATTAACAACTTTTAATAATAATAATAATATGTCCATCAAAACCTTATATGTCCACGGTAAAATATATTATAATTGCCATTCATAACAAGTCCCATTTAAATTTGAAAGAAACATTATAATTACGTCTGAAAAAAATGTTAAGACCTAAAAGTAATAATTTATGTTTTCTACAGAATATTTTACAAATAAATCAATTGCAATACCGAAAAACAAAAATCTACAGCAAAAATTATTTGGTGTACAATAATTTAAAATCTTAAAACTGCTCTCCTGTAAAATTTAGTGTTTGGGACATACAACTTTTGGCCTCTTAGCCATCGATATACTTGTGTGGTTTAAAAATGCATTGTACGAATAAAATACGAGAGTATAATTTATTACATAATAAAAAAAAATATCAAATTTGGTAATAATGACATATTTTATAGTACTTTGATCGTCGTTGTAGATGATACTGACTGTATTTTGTAGTATACAATAATGTAAGATGTATTATGTATACCTATATATTATATCATTTATACATTGCATGGTTGCCATTAAGCCTTTACTTAAGTAAATAAAAAAAAAATTAAATAGATAAATAAATAATTGCAGGTAATAATAGAATGACTCACATTCATATGTATGTTATTTGTATACTATCACTGTTTATAAATACTTAAAAATATGTTTCAATAAATACATTATCAATAAAATAAAGAAATTGCAAAAAGTGGTGTTTTTAAATCTTAAAATCAAATACTTATAAGAATAATTATAACCAAGGTTCGGGACTTATAGCAACTGCATACATTTTATTTATTGTAAAATGTAGCAGAGTGCAAAATAAATTAATTTCTCAATGCCGTGATACCAAATCTAAAAATTGAATGTGCATATTTTTGCATATTTCATAAATTTTGCCGGAAACTGCTTATTTTTATTTTATTGTGCTTAATTTGTATATTTTAGAAAATTTTTCGAAATTTCAACTTCACAAATTTCACCCGATCTAAAAAAGAAAATAGTAATGCAACTTACTCGCAGTCTTATGTACCTATTTGCTATATACAACTCACAACTCCTTATAATTTTCGTGGTTTGAAAATATTATGAAGGCCTGATTGCCTGTATCGTTACATATCATATAATATGTTGCGATACGAATGATACAATAATTTTAATATATAGCAGTTATTAAATGTTTTTTGAAACTAAAAGTATTCCCGGTAAATGTAAAATCATTTATTTATTGATTTAAATGAAAAATTTAATTTTTAATTTTTCCCATCTATATATAGTTGACAAATAAAATTCAAAAAACTCGGAAATTTAAGAAACAAGTTAACAATCAGTTATTTTTAAAAAAATTTTATATTAAGTACATTAATTGTAATTAATAATTATTAATAAAATAATAAATAATAATAAGTATATTAAATGCATATTTTTAATTTTTTTATGCATATTTTAGGGTTTTTAAGTGCATATTTTAGCGCTTATTATTGTGTTTTTAAGTGCTATAAGTCCCGAACTCTGGTTATAACAGTAGTTTCTTTTATAATTTGCTGCATCATCTTAATTCTAAACATAGTTTGACGCATAAAGTCAACACCTATCTGAAAGATATTAGATTAACGTTAGCTTTTTAGTATTTGTTGAATTGTTATATAGTGTTTTTGTGCTTACATCAAAAATATGCCCAGAATTAAGCAGTGGTGAATCATAAAATGTATTGATATTTTTCCATTATCCTAACTACATAGTCCCTATTACTTTATCCCGACTACTAAACACGAACTAAGTGCCAGAGTATGGTAATATATCTAGTAATAATAAATAGGTAAATCCTAATACATAATATATCTAAAATATCTAAAATATCTAAAATAGCATGTTCATGCCTACATTCAATACAATAACAACTAGTTGTCACTCATCATCTTAGGGGAAATAATAGTATTTATAGTACCTATAAATATTCCAACAGACAGTTCTCAAAAATACAGTAACAACATTGGTGGGTGGTATTGGTACATATTATTTTCATACAGATAATGGTTAACATTTCTTCAAGTTTATCTTAAAATATAATATTACTAAGTATATTATAAAAAGTATAAATTACCACTTAATATAATTTAAGCTGACTACTCTAAGAGACAATATATACATGGAACCACTTTATACCCCCTCTCTCATCTAGGACTGAATAATATAAAATAATTTACTACATCAGGAATGTTAAGCCTACTTTTAAATATGAATCATAACCTAACACAATTTTTTCACATATATAATTTTGAAGTCTTATTTTTAAGCCTTATCATTGCATAAAAAATAATTTTTACATGTAGGGTTTCAATCTTCGTATTGTTAATTGTTAATATAATTAAATATAATTTGAGAGTCAAATTTGATGAGGCTTTTAATATTGGTACCATTTGTTCAGTTTTATTTTATTGTTTCCACTTATAACATTAAGATATTATTAACTATAAGTATAATAAGTACTCACCTAAATACATTATCTATGTGCTGCCTAGAAGAATGTTGTTTTTCAGAATGTGAATAACTTAATTCTGGTACATTTATATTGAATACAGTCAAAGGATTAAGTACACTTGAACCAATTAATATAACGACTGATTCTATATGGTTTTCCACACGATTAAGAAATTCATTTTCAATGCACTGAAAAAAAAAATATATATAAATAATAGTAGGTATATTAAATAAATTCAATAATTTTAAGTAATTAAAGCAATAGGAATCAAATCAACCAAGTGTAGATTGTAGGTACATCAGTATGTATATATTATACACAGTTCCAAAAAGATTTTGTCTTTTAATTTATTAAAATATAGTAGGTAGGTATAAATGATTACCTTAAAAACTGTCTCAAGACTTATTATAGCATCTGAAACTTTCTTATAATATTTCTCTGACTCCAGTCTGTATTTTTTTTTCAAATTACAGCGATTACTTTCCTGCTTCAGGAAAAAAAAATAACTTAATATTATTTAAGACCTTGAATTGGATCTGACATTATAATAATCTAATAATAGTGTTATGAGCAACTCAAAACAGAATTGTCTTCAGAACTTACCTCTAAGTTCAGTTCTTTGTATTTTTGTACATATAACTTCAAACGGTCGTACGGATAAGGAATGAGTTGCTTTTCATAGACCAAATATTTTATAAGCGTTGTGATTAAGCTGGAAAACGATTGAGGTGTCATGATGTCGGACAAGTGGACGCATACATCACAAGTTGCCATGGTAGTACTAATCCCGCGAAATCCTGTGAAACACAATGTCCGTAAAATATGTATCGCCTAATCGAAACTCGATCGGTCTGACCACAATCTTACTGACTAGAATCAAAAATCTCCAAACCGTATTGAAACTGTATCGCAACTGTTCGCACAACGATAAAACGAAAAACGATTTCGACTAAAACCGAAACGCATCTAGGAAGTTCACGATGATAATGCGGTTGAATACCAATGGCGTAACTACTTAAAACATGTGGCAATTACTTCAGTTACTAGGTCAAACAATATAATATTGCTTCAATAATTAAGTGGCATCTTGTGAATTACATTCAAAATTTACACTTATCAGAAAAACGTAACGTTCAAGTTCGTAATCGCAGTGATAATAATCATGTTATTTTATCAGCGTCAGCAGTCTAACGTGTCCATAGACCTTGTAAGGTCCATAAACGTGTCACGTCCGCGAACAAGGCAGCCATTTTTCTTCCACGAAACGTTGCGGTCGTCATTATCGGTTCGTGCTCCCGCCGTTTGGGCGGCAAGCTGACATTATTCGAAATTTAGGCGGGTTTTTCGATAACGTTTAAAACTGTCGAACCTCTTCAACAGCAAGACTGCGATGAAACAAATTAGACAAATAACTCAACTAAAGCGGCCTTAGTTATGCCATTATGCTTGTTGAACGATAAGTAAACATACAATTATTTGTACAACAATTTGTTGTTTTGTATTTGTACTTAAAAAAAATGCTCACTCTTATTTATTAAAACGTAAAAAGTAGTAAAAAGAAGTTTATAAGACCAACTGTAAAAATGTATATAATATTTTCAGAACAGAATCTAACTTATTTTAATATATTTAAAAGTTTAAAATTTATTTAATATTAAACAAAACCTGAGATCTGAGTGGACGAGTTATTTTATTTGATGAATTACATACTGTTTTAAATATTTTTCTACTTATTTTAGTACGTGGTACATGGTTATTGTGTATAAATAAATTATTGTACTAAATATTATACTTGAAGTTAATACAAAAATAATAATAATCACAGAAATAAATGAATTCTTACATATAGGTACGACAAAATGCGCAGTACTTAATTAATGACGAACAGAAAATTATTTTTTTTACAAGTACCCAGGCATGCAGCACGCCAGCACACTGCAAAATGCACTCACATACCTTGCGCTGAAAAATCTCAATTAACACAACACATGTACCACCTATATTACTTTTTACTATATTCGGTACTAGCTGCCCGACCTTCCACCGGAAGAAGTTATTTTTTTATAATTTAATTTAAAAACATAAGACTATTTTTTGGCTATACAAATAATACAACGATTATAAAATAAAAAAAATAAAAAAATAAAACATCGTTATCGGTGAATATCTGAAAATAATTGGTAATTAGTTAATTATTATTATTATTATAATGAGGGTTCAAAACCGGTTTCCTTCTTCTCCAAAATCAAGTTAGATTCTTATATATATAGATGATATAAAGATAGGCAAAGTAAAACAAAACGATTCCTATTAAAATGTTCGAACAATTTAAAGACAAGATTTTTATCTGAATCTGAATTAGAAGTAACTTGAACAGATATATATATATTGATTATTCACGAAACTATTTTCTTATTTTGCTGTAATTCGAAAACGAATAATGGTACTTACAAATTTGATATTTACACTAAATGTTTATTTTATCAAAACATTTTGACACGTCTTCAGTTGTGTATAGACATTTGAAATTTTACGTTTTTATTCTTATTTTATTCTTATTTTATTCTTATTTTATTCTTACATTATCAGGGCACTGGAAACGTCTATAAAACAACTGAAGAATCCGTCCACGCGAATGTATCCTCAATTGTGAGATGCGTGCGTGTAACAACGAGTGCACGCGATTCATCCACCTCAACAGTAACACGGCCGCATTTAGCTCCAGTCTCGGCACGGACAACGGTTTAAGTAGAGCTAATTTTGTTTTCGACCCGACCAAAATGACTGATGAAGCACGGGGGGCGTAATGGATTCGCAGAAATACGAGAGGCGCATAACCGTGTTGCGACGCATCGCAGAATCAGTATAACGAGCATTGAGCACCGAACTCTGTACATCGGTTTGTTAACATCATTAAGCTGGAGATGTTTTGTCATATAAGCAAATCTTTCGACCACTACTCTTGTATTCAGTTTCCTGTGAGGGGAAACTGTGTGCTAAAACCTACAAACACAAAATACAAGTAATTCAATCCAAAGTTCTGAGGACGATATCCAATGCTCCATGATTTGTTAGCAATGAGGCACATAACAAAGGCCTAAAATTAGCCACAATAACAGAGTACATAAAAAAATTAACAACAAACATCTTCAACCACATCAATTTACTCGCAGTGCGAAATTTTACTATCCTTCTTCTATACGCCGATTCAAGCGTGGACTCCCCACTCCCACACGACCTTTTATTATAATTTAATTATCTTAATAATTGTAATTACATTTAAACATATTAATATTATTTTATTACTAACGTTATAGTTAAAATACCTTCCATTGTCAAACATTATAATAATATCATCCTTACTGACTTATGATAATATTATTATTATTGTTATCTTTTTTCCTAATGTTAAAAATATGTAACTATGTTAGCAATACGTTTAGTTGACTTAATGTCAGGGAAACTTCATACAATTATAAAAAACAAAAAATGAATAATACTAAGTACGTTTTATTATTTATAAGAAATTGTCACTTGACTCAATCCTGACTACCGTTCCTTATACAACTATGAATTTTCTGATGACAAAATTCATTCCTTAAACTCCAGTATGGATAAATAATCCATTAAAAACATTTTCAGAGCAGCAATTCGTTCTGCATTTACACTGTGCACTCATTTACTTTCCATTAGTTTTGTTAGGTAGGCCTGTATGTTCTACGCCTAAGTTTAACAATCTTTTAACCTTTTCAGATTAATAAACTTTAATTTTAAACTATATTATACCACGGATTATATTAATGTATAATCTGTGCTTTTACCATGAATGATAAATCAATATTCATTCAATGTAAATTGATATACGTGTTGTCATGATGATCAAAGTGTGTAGAGTAAAAATTTACACTTAATAAACTTATAACATAGTGATATGTAACTCATCAATAATTATAATATGTTTATTAACAAAAATCATTTATGACACAATGAAAATTATTTTCATTTTATTAATGTCAATCAAAGTGGCATATTTATTTAAACCTCTTGGGCTAAATTCGACTTATAACAGCAACACAGGACTTGTGTTTAATGGTCAAAAATATAATCCTGAGGAATATCCATACGTAGTAACTATTAAAATAAATTCACGTATTAAGATGACACATGGGATTTGCACAGGTACTTTGATAAAACCATTGTACGTACTAACTGCTGCCCACTGTACGTGGGATACAATACCATCACAGTACCAAGTGAGTATACGTTAGCAGTATTTCTATTATAATTAACGAACTATAGTCCAGAAGTATTCAAACTGCCCGTTGCAGCTCCTATTGGTGTAGTGAGAGTTGGCTAAGGGAGCTGCATCAAAGAACCAGAAACCGAAATTTATGTAGGTGATAGCCAATATAGCCATAGATATAAACTTATAGTGAATATAAATATTATCATTATAGCGATTATGGACACGATAACGAAACACACGTGATAATTTCAATTAGTTTCATTTCTAGTACTAATATAATATCTGTAAAATATTGTGAACACACCTTAGCCCTTAGGGCCACGGAATGAAAAAATTTGAATACCTCTGAACTATACATTACATCATCCATAAATACAAATTTAAATACATGGTTACTAATGTTACAATGTCTATGATTAGGTATATGCTGGACCTATTTTAGACCCTGAAGATTTTGGACGGGTATCCAAAATCCACATTCCCAAGAAATATAAAATACACAGGCTAAACAGTAAACCTAGGACGGGAGACATAAGTTTGCTTAAAGTAAGGTCTTAGAGTGCTATTTTTTTGTTAAACAATGAATATTGGCTGTTTGCCTGTTTATCCGTATTTAGCCGTCCATAAAGAAATTACACTCTTGCAAGCAATAGCATAACCAGAGTTAACCTCCAACTACTCCATATTGTAGTCATGTTTACTGTACGACAGTGGTCATCAAACTATGGGTCACAACCCAATTTTGGGTAGCGTAAAGATTTAAGATTGAGTCGCGATAACTGTCTTAGTCTACTGTTTAAAATTTAAAAAATCCAAATTTATATATTTATAAACCTCTATGTATAAAAGAAAGTTACTTTAGCAATCATAAACGCAGAGCCGAACCTATTTCAGTTATCGAATTGAAATTTTGAAGATGGATTTAAAATATAATGTCAAGTTACACTAAGAATGGATTTTTCAAAATTTTGATTTTAAAGGGTTGAAATCTGCAAAAATAAATTGTTTACTTAGAGTTTTATGGAAAACACCGAATACCTCAATTATACGAATGGGGTTAACAAAAAAAAAATAATACTCTGCTTATCGATATGCGATAAACTTGTTTAAATATACAAATTATAATAATAACTATTGAATCATTTTTTAACAACAATATAGAATCATCAGAATCATTTGTAAATATTATTATTATTATAATTATAATTATTTTTTGAAAAGATTTTTTGAAATTTGACCTCGAAGGGGATAAAACGGGTTTTTTTATATAGCTATATATAATACAATGGCAACGCCGTGACGGGACAGCTAGTATTATATTATGGGTATAAATGTTGGGCATGACTCAAAAAAATTATTTCATATGACATCGGATAAAATAATTTTAGAGTAAACAATACAATTCAATTTTATATTTGTAGAATTTAAGAATGGTACTTAAAGCTGGGTAAAATAACGCGAGTTATCACTAAGCCTTAATCGATAAAAAATTCGGTTATTTATCTATAAATTGGATATATTATTTTCATAAATTACTGCTTTGTCGTCGTGTTCAGAGTGAATATCGATGTATTATAAATTATAAATGTTAGTTGCGTTCAGTCTAGTGATCTAGCCGTATTAAAGAAGTGTGGTCTAAGTTCTTTTTCCTAACATATAATTATTTTGGATAAATTTGTTATTCGGAAAAGTGGCGGTAGAGTGGGTGATGAAAAGGCTTACATATCTCATTAATTTTCGTTTGTATTATTACGGGGACTTTTTTTCTGTATCATAACATTTATATTTTTTTTGTTATTACATAAAATGACATAATAAAAATTATATAGAAAAATTTTAATTTTAATTTATTCTGTTATAAAAGCATTTCTATAACGGTATACCAAGACATTAAGCAATTTTAACTTTTTTTGGGTTAACAAAGCTGGCATTGATCGCATTAACTGTGTAGTAAATAAAATCTGTCAAAAATCGAGTTTGAAGACCACTGATGTACGGGATGTAACTGCAAATGACCTGACGAAGTAAAAATTAAAAATGGATACTAGTTTAAAGAATGAAAAAAATTATGAATATTATATGGACGATAATTAATTAAAAATTAACTTATGTTACCAAAAATTATATTTTGAAAACAGTTATTACGTTAGCAAACAGAAGAATTAAAAAAAAAAATTGTTACAAACTAATCAACTGAAATAATAAATAAACCTTCTTGGATAAATAATTATTTCACTCCTGAGTTCATTTTCAAATAGTAGCATAATTATAGGTGAAGGAGATATGTGGGCTGGACTCCCCCCCCCCACAGGTATTTCTTTTTGGAATTGATTGCCGTATCAATCTAATTTTTTTAACCATATTTAAGTACTTATTTCACTATACATATTACAATTTACAGGTATTAAGTAATATAGTTTATTTTATAGGAATAATTTATGAAAATCTGAATCCCCTATTCTAGCCGTATAAAGTACATAACTAAAATAATGTTACTGCGTAATAAACACTTATCACTATTGCACAGATATATTGAAATGCGGCATATACCATTAATGCAGCTAGCTTTCAAGCGATTATTGTAAATTTTTTTGTAAACCTATGTACTTCACCGAGAACATCACATGAACGATGATCCAATCAGAATTTGTCGGTCATATTGCTCTGCCACACTCTGTACCTAACTACCAAGGGTGGACCGAGATCCATTCTACGCACTATTATTGAAAAAAAATCGGTCCTATATCCTATTAAAACCTACAATTTTAGACTTTGGTACTTCACCAATCACAATGATAAATTAATAAACGGGTGATAAATGTATTTAAAATTAAAATTTGTTTGAGGCAATATTAATTGTTTATTATTTATATTGTATTTAAAATCGTTAATCATAGATGATATCTAGAGTACAATGCCTTAAAAAATGCATTTTAACTGCAACAATGTCCTCAAAAATGACCAAAAAATTGTTTTAACATTTCTTGAATATGAACAAAAACATGAACTTAACGATTTAAACTCGATTATCATGTAACACCGGCTAACCAATTAGTTGTTAGTGATTAGTTTATAAAAATCATAACTAGTACAATCAACGTATGATGAATAGTTGAAGCGTAAATTTTGAAATTCCCAATTAAATTAAATCCAAAATATAAATATCTGTACATAAATCATGTATAAACGTGCAATAAGAATCAATAAAAATTACTTGAAAATTATAACGATTATTGCTGAATAAACACTAATAAAAATGCAAAAAAAAGTTAAATAGTTTTAAATTCTTTGATGTACTAGTATGAAAGGGATTTTGTACTCGAAAAGCATTGGCGGGAAGTTTCCAAAAAATAATGCATTTTGCATTTAAGTACGGACCCTATATGGTTATAACTGAAAAGCATTTAAGGTTGAGTTGAGTGGAGTGGATTATGTTGGTTTACTGCAAAGGTGTACTAAATAGATTAATAGAAGAGGTCCTACAAAAATTGTCAACAGTAATAATATTATACCATGTGGATTATTTTGTACCAGCCCGGGGTACATTAGATGACTCCGGCCCACTGTGCAATTGCACAGTGGCACAGTGACCCAGTCTAACTACAGTACCTATATGGGTACTACATATAATATAGAGTATCGTGTGTAACCGAAATTCTTATAATATAATCAATATATTATGTATATGCCAAATACCACTCGCTCACTCACTCATTTATCGTTACATTTCAAAAACTACAAAACATATGGACTTGAAAATGGAATAGTAGTTCCTCCTAATGATCTATATATGCAATAAGAAAGGATTTTATAATATTCGCATTTTGAAGAGGTAATTGTAGAAATTACTATTATTATTTTCTTTTTTACGAATGGTTACCATTTGTTACTCAAGCAGATCAGATACAAGCATACATCAAATTGTCATGCTTATGACCTAGGATAAAGAATTATATAATATATATATATATCATAAAACCAAAAGTATGTGTGCAGCATATATTCGTTCAAACGTGTCAATAACATTGGTTCATTGATATGCACATCTCTGTTTATGAATTCTGGTTACTCATATGCTATTTGAATGTCTCATTTGCAGTAATATATATTACTTCTAAAAAGTTACTGCTATATAAATCAATAGCGTTTTATCCTTGCTACATAAATATTTTGATTCTTCATTAAGTAAATTGAATGTTATTATGTTTATAATTTATAACATACTATTAAAGGTGGGCACTATTAATTAACTATTCTACTGCATAATATACCAAAATATTTACTTCATGTACATACTCGTATTTTTGCATTTGAATATATTATGATACAGTATTAGTATTATTATTTTATTCAGCTTAAACGCCCATTCAAAAATGTTAAGAAATATATACAAATTGGTGGAAACAAAAAAGAATTTGCAGACCTCAACGCCATAGAATGTATTTTAATTGGATTTGGTGGTATGGATACAAAGGGCACATTAAACCCAGCAGGAGCTATGATGACCACTAAGGTCAGACATGGTCAAGCAGCTTGTAAAAATCCTAATAAGTAATAAACACAAATAATTCAGTTATTATTTGTGGATCTTATAACTGATGATTACATTATCTGATTATTTTTTTAGCATGGGCACAAGGTGGGCAGAATATTTATGTGCGATTACCCCATTCCCGTCGATGGTATGTAAAGGAGACAGCGGTGGTCCAATGATTTGCAATGGAAAGCTCTATGGATCATGTAGTTATTATTATAATTACTCAGCTCCGGACATAAAAGGTGCTGATAGCATGATGAGATGTGGAGGTCCTAATATGCAGACTGTACACGTGTTCCTAAGCTATCATTCAAAATGGATAAATTCTATAATAGAAAAGAAAAAGAAAAAGAATTCCGGGAGTATGCTTAATGCACACCTTACATTGCACACAATCATAGCACTATTAATGTATGGAGTGTTGACTAGTATTTTAAAATAACAAAATGTAAGACATATTTTTATCAAACAAAATCGTGTTTTCAAGACGTATTTGTATCAGTCTGGTCCAGTAATTTCTAGGTCTTACTTATTAATTTGAAACAAAATGGGTACTTACTACCTTTTTTTATTCTGTTACCTAAACGTAAAATGTAAAAATTAGCTGCATAGTTAAATACAATATATAGTCAATATATCATATTAGTTCCTACCTTATTCTGTATGAATTAATAATGTATGGATTGCAATATGATATACATTGGTCTTGAGTGTTATCCGTTTTAAAACAGCGTAATTTTTCTATGTATCACATGAATATCGATTACCCAGAGAATTCAAAATGTAGAAAATACGTGCGTATCTTAAAATCGTTAAATTTGAAGACTGATATATTTAGCTAGGTCACTCATAACTAGGTTTGTCCGGTCAAAATCCGAAATATGACATTTTGCCCAAGGGTTGTGGGCAGTTCTCGTTTTGCCTGGGCGTTTTTTTTCCCTGAGACTTGCCCGATTTCGACTTTTGCCTGTAACAAATATATATATTATGATATATTATAACGTGATATATTATAAATGAATTCGTACACATAGGAACGACAAAATGCGCAGTTCTTAATTCATAACGAACAGAATATTACTTTTTTTACAAGTACCCAGGCATGCAGCACACTATAAAATGCACTCACATACCTTGTGCTGAAAAATCTCAATTAACACAACACATGTACCTATATTACTATATTAGGTAACGTACATGTCCCCAGCCCCACCCAATAAAAATGTTTACATTTTTTTCAACTCAACATTTAGCAGAATATATAGATATATATAGATATATATAGATAGGCAAAGTAAAACAAAACGAATCTTATTAAAATGCTTGAACCATAGGCGTGCGCAGACTTTATTCGCAGGTTATGCAATAAGGAAAATAGGGCCCCCTCACAAATTCTAATCTTTCCTTAATTTATTCTAAAAAACAATTCTAAGCCGTTAAACATTTTTTTTAACACATATAGGATTCAATTTACAATCTAAGTTTTTG